GCTGTAGTTAGTCTTTATCATAAAAAAGTGAAACAAAGGTTAAATTAACGGAAGCAGATGTTGAAAACAAAAAACATTTAGTTTCTTTACATACAACTGTAATCCCTGTGGCTGTTTTCTCAAATGGAAAAATGATATGCCTTTCTTGTTATAACTGGTGCATGGATGAATATTTAATGTTAAAAAAGAAGAAAGTGGACTTTGGATGCAGACTTGTATGACACATGTTTTTGACATTTGCTACATACACATATAAGTATGTCAGCTCTTATATCATCTCACCCTGATAAACAAGTAGTGGTAAAAAAAAATAGGTGTTACTTTCTTTGACAGGAAAGGCGGATAAATAGATGTTAGGACTATGGTCTGTCTGTATCCAATTCATAAAAGGTTAATTCGGCAATTTTTTTAATTGTCTTGAACCCTTTTTCCCCCTTATTTTAACACTCTACCCTGTCCAAAGGAGAAATGTAATCTTTCAATAACATTTGTCAGCCTAATGAATATTTGTATCAAACAGCTCTGTTTTAAATGTTGTAATATGAATATGAAGACATTACATGTACACTTTCTTTGATATCAGAAGGACAGACTCTTAGAAGTAAAAAAAGAAAAAGTTTTCAATATTTTTCAAACTATTTTTCAAAAAGCTTTACAATTAAAATATATCAAACACAGTGGAAACATAAGTTTTATTGAAAAAGAAAAGTATGCATCAGCAAATAATTTAGCGTAATTGTAAAAGATCATCTGTAATTTTTCCTTGAATGGAGGCATGGAATTTACAGTGTCATCACAACAAGACAGTTTTGAAAAAAATGCAGGTGTGTGAACATTTCATACTAAAGGATAATGATTTTGCTGTTAAGTTATCCTCAAAGTCTCAAACAAGCTGAAAACAGTTCAAGTAAAAATAGCAAACTCTGAATCAGTTTATTGACACTGTAAAGACACCTAGTTGTACCTTATCTACTCTTGCGTGAATCATCCAAGAAATCAGAGGAATGTTCACTGGAATGTCCTCACCCCTATTTTCCATTAACAACTGCTGTATGGAGAAAAGCTGATTTGTTGGCAAAATGAGTGTTATGACACAGTGACAGAAATTCCTTTTTCTTAACCCTCCTGTTATGTTGCGGGTCAAATTGACCCGTTTTAAAGTTTGAAGGTCTGAGAAAAATAGTTAAAAGTATTTTTTCAGTATGAAACTTCTTCTGCTTGCCTTAAATAGTGTAATCAACATATAATATGAAAATGGTTCATCTCACATATTTGCAACCACCCCCTGCATGTTTATATCACATATATACTGTTCGGGTCAATTTGACCCAGCAGTCAAATTGGAGGTAAAAGGGTGTCAGAAATGTCAGACTATTTCTTTCTTTGCAACTGTGAGACATGTTTAACCCCAATCTCACACTCACACACACACACACACACACACACACACACACACACGTATACACACACACACACACACACACACACAGAGGAGGATGTGTCTGAAGATGAAGACTAACTTGAGCTAAATTCTGATTCTAATGATTATGATTTTGAACCTGATGATGGAATTGCTATTCCTATTCCTCCAAACATGACATTCATGTAAAAAAATGGTGAAATACAGTGGTCTTCATCCCCAAATATGCGTCAGGCAAAACTGTCTGCAGAAAACATCATAAAGACAGTGCCAGGGCCCACTAAGATGGCAGTGACTCATGTGACTGACATCAAGTCAGCTTTTGAGCTGGTCATGCCAGATTCAATGCAGAAAATCATTTGGGAACTGACTAATCTTGAAGGCAGGCGTGTTTTTGGGGAGAAGTGGGAGGAGCTGGACAAAACGCGTTTAGATGCGTATTTGGGGCTCCTCGTCCTGGCTGGGGTCTGTAAGTCGAAGGATGAATCAACAGCCAATCTGTGGGATGCAGAGACAGGCAGGGCTATATTTTGAGCCACAATGTCTCTGGAGACATTTCACATTTTCTCCAGAGTAATCCGATTTGATAATCGAGAGATAAGGGCTGGTAGACGGGAGACAGACAAGCTGGCAGCTATTGGGACAGTGTGGGACAAGCTGGTAGAGCAACTTACACTACTCTATAACCCAGGCCCTAATGTCACAGTGGATGAAAGGCTGGTGGCATTCAGAGGTCGCTGCCCATTTAGGCAATACATGCCTTCCAAACCAGCTAAATATCGGATAAAAATCTGGGCAGCATGTGATGCAAACACCAGCTATGCATTGAACATGCAGGTTTACACTGGAAAGCCGGTTGGAGGAGCCCCAGAGAAGAATCAGGGCACAAGGGTCGTGCTCGATATGGCACAGGGTCTCAGGGGACAGAACATAACCTGTGACAATTTTTTCACAAACTACAACTTGGGTCAGGAGCTTCTAAAGAGAAAGCTCACAATGGTCAGAACTGTCCGAAAGAACAGGGCTGATCTCCCTGCTGAGCTGCTGGTAATCAAGGACAGGGCCCCTCAATCTTAAATTTAGTTTCAATGTTGTGTAAAACTATTGTGTTTTATATGTTGGTCTTTCAAAAGTAATAAAGTGGTGAAACATTAAAAAAAGTTTGAACATGCAGTTTAAAAAAAAAAAAAAACGAGTGAATTATCATAATTGGATCATTACCTGTTAGAGGTAAGAAAGACCATTGCACTAAATATTGATAGAATAGTTAGTAATGGAGTTAGTAATGATATATTAACAATGCTTGTTAGGATTTCTTTGGTTTTAGACATCTTTTGGATAATTAAACATGCACCGGGTCAAACTGACCCGGGAACAGCATTGCTGTACCTAAAAAATGAACATAACAGGAGGGTTAAGACCTACTTCAACTATCTTTAATTTTCAAGAGTAGCTAAATAAGCTGCTTTCTTCTGCCAAAATGCCTGAGCATGTCCTTTTGTGATTCAGGTGTAATTACAGATCTTTTTGGAAATATTTCCCTTGCAGTCTTAATGAGTTATTCCACTTTACAATGTCCACTATTTCGGGGACTTAAAGGTACGCCCAAGTAGTAAATCCGGATGAATGTGTTAATTTGTTTCACTCCTTTGAAAGATATGGAAATGAATCAGTATACAAGTAAAAAATCTTGTTATGCATACTTGCTATCCTACATTAGATCATGTCAGGCAGGTGAAATGCTCTCAGATGAGGTAAATCCAGCATGAACAATAATTGTTTCTAAAGAAAATTTAGTATGTATATTCCTGGTTTAGCCTATTCTAAACAGCATGCCTTCACTTTACAGCACGTGTCAAACTCAAGGCCCACGGGCCACATCCGGCCCGCCATACAATTATAAACGGCCCCGCAAGATAATTTTACATATGTTCTTTTAACAGAAGCCCCAATAACACACACTAAAAATCCCAAGATGCAGTGCTGTTGCCATAAACCACAAGCTGCGGTTCAAGTTCGCGATCTGTTTATGTATACAACGCTAATATCAAATCAAAGCTAGACCCCAACAATGGCCAAGAGTAAAATCTTGGCCATTTGACATCCCAGCAGACGTTTTTTTACCAAAGCGAAATCACAAAGTGAAGCTGCTGTGAAACCAAGTTTTATTGTGGCCGAAGAGATTGCCAGGACGGCTGTTTACTGAGGGGGAATTTGTGAAGAATTGTATGATGAAAGTGTGCGACGTCGTTTGTCCAGATGGTAGCACATATCTGTGCGAGCAGCTGTTCTCCGTGAGGAAAATTAACATAAAATCATACAGGTGTTGCCCCCCTTATGAACACCTGCAATCCATCCTGAGAATCTCCATAACACAGAACTAACCCCAAACATAAATTAACTTGGTGCAAAGAAAAGATACCAAGTATCAGACTCTGACTGAATAGGGCAGTAAAATGTAATGTTATGATTTGTTATGATTTAACTTTTACTTTAAATTACATTTCTTATTTATATTTTCTCATTTATTATATTCCAGCATGTACATATTTTGAATGTATATAGTATTGACAGGAGTTTTTTTGAAGAGAAAAATATGAGTTAAGTTCATTTAATTCTAAATGTATTTATTTTGGAATGATATCCTATATTTTGATTAATATTAATGGTTAAAAAACCTAAATATTTTTTTCTATTAATAAAATGTTTGTTTGTTTTTTTCACAAAATGAATATATTTACCAAGAATCTATATGCATTGCTGAAAAAAGATAACAGGATGCATTTTACATTTGTAAGGCATTTTCAGTGAAATAGCATTTTCCTGTAAAATCATTAATCTAGGGGCGGCACGGTGGTGTGGTGGTTAGCACCGTCGCCTCCCAGAAGGTTCTGGGGTTCTGGGTTCAAATCCCGGGTGAACCAGGACCTTTCTTGGTGGAGTTTGCATGTTCTCCCTGTGTCTGCGTGGGTTCTCTCCGGGTTCTCCGGCTTCCTCCCACTGTCCAAAAACCTGCATGTTAGGTTGATTGGAGATTGGGGAAATTGCCCTTAGGGAGTGAATGTGAGTGTGAGTGGTTGTATGTCCTTGTATGTCCTGTGTGTGGCCCTGCGATGGACTGGCGGACTGTCCAGGGTGTACCCTGCCTCTCGCCTGTTGACCACTGGGATAGGCTCCAGTTCCCCCCGCGACCCCAACAGAGAATAAGCGGTATTGATAATGGATGGATGGAAATCATTAATCTATTTCTAATCATTTTTAAGGCTCTGCAGCCGGAGGGGCGCCTTGTTGTGTTGAAATTTGTCCGTTTATCTCCCGTGGCTGACAGCTGCAGCACACAGTGTACAGGTAGTTAGAAGTAAAGGCATACAGGAGTGGATTAAGCCAACTGTTTGCAAATGTTAGTGACAAAACCACCTCCGTTATATCTACACTAAACTTCCACAGACCTTCATTCTGAAGCGAAACAGCTGCCACACCCAGCACATTTATAGAATGATATGGAATCCACAGTACGAATAACGTTACAGTGATGCTGATAACCAGTCTAGTTGTCTGAGCGTGGTTGAAGAAAGCTGCCTCATTCACTTTCTTGAAGATATGCAAACGCTACTACAAAAAGGCAAATCGATATCACCAGAATCTCTGTCAGCATCACAGCCAACTTCTGGACATCAGAAACGTATTGTGAAGAGCAACGTGTCCGTTTCCTGTCATGATCTGTGGTCAGATGTCGAACAACCGAGGCAGGTGTTGAGAGCACCATTGCGACCAGCCAGAGCAGAACCAGCAGCTTTCTTTTTCTTACTTTATTTAACCACCTCTGCTGGTGCACCACCAGTAGGTAGCGGTGGACGCTCAGCACGGTCACAGTCAGAGTGCTGCTGTAAATAGAGATGTACCCAAAGCATGCTAAGAGCTTACAGGCCACAAGGCCAAAGATCCAGTCGGAGAGCAAAGAGTAAATCCACACCGGAAGGGTTAGCAGACAGAGCAGGTCTGATATGGCCAGATTCAGCATCAAACACTGGCTCAGACTGCAGAGATGCTCCCAGTTGGGTTTGAGAATGATCACTGCGATGTTTCCAGGAACTCCCAGCAGGAAGCAGAGCGACAGGATCCCTGAAGCAATCGGACCTCTGTAATCCCAGGAAGGAGGAGAAAGGGGTGCTGAAGAGTTGTAGATTGTAGAGGTGACCATTGTGGAGTTGAGATCCGCCATGCTGCCGAGTTGCTCAGAGGGTTGTGCACTGAGCAGAGCTGGCGGTGGATATGTGGTGTGTCAGGAAAACAAGAAAGAAATGAGATGGATTCAAACAAACAGGAAACTGGTACACTGAGGCAAATAAACTTTGCATATTTTTGATTGCTAAAGATATGTAAGCTCTCTTATTTGAATTTGGAGGAAAGAAAAATAAAAATCGCACACTTTTCTGCTGAAATGTATTACCTAACTTTGAAATGAGAGCTGTGTAGGCAAATAATCACATGTGCAGTTTGGAATATCCATCTGTTCACTCACTGTCTAGAATACTTAATTGGCTGAGTTTAAATGGAGAATAATATCCACCTTTGTTCATATTATGCAAGTAAAAATGTGATATTCAAATGATAGTTTGGCTTGACGGTATTTTTGGCCTGTAGTTGAGCTCTGCGCTTCCCTATCAACACCTGGGAGGGACTGCTGAACAGTGGAGTCTTTTATTTGATGTGCGGCACATTGAATGAACAAATTAGTGCTGATAATCCTCACGGCATTGCAAATAATCTTGGATAATTCCAGGTCGAGAAAGCCGTGTGCGTTGTTGCAGCATCTAAAGAAATATGAAGTAATTCCTGCTGCACAGCGAGACATTAAATCAAACCGACTTCAGTTTAAATACAGTGAGCTCAGATTTGCCTTTTTCCTGTATTTGTAGGACCGATTAACACGGTCGCCGGCAGAAACACCAGATAAACATATCGTCTGCCAAAAAAAGGAGCAGCTTTGAAATGACAGTCATCACTTTAAAACAGCTGTGTTCGGCGAAGAGTCTCCACGTCATGAAAAGGTTTCCTTTTTTTTTTTTTTTTTCCCTTGTCGTGTTTGGCATTATGGCTACAGAATCGTAATCTGAGTGCCGTGCTGTGCCCGACACATTTGCTTTGCCAAGGGAGGCCTGTCAGGGTGAGAACCCTCCCTTGATCATCCAGTACTGCTCTATTATTTATTTAGGATTTATTTATGTTACATTAGTAGTATGGCTAATGCCAAACATGACCGGGGGACAGGAAAGGAGAAAAAAAGAGATTACTAAAACAGGAAGAGAGGAGAGAAAGGCGCCCAGCCCAACGCCAGCAGCCACACGGGCGGCCCGGGGAAAGTGGAACCAGAACCAGACCCAATCAAAACCCCAAACACTCCAATCGAACACACACGAGACAAAACAAAAAAACAAACAGAAAACAAACAGACGCACAAGCAGAACAAAACAAAACAAAAC